AGTCCCCGCCTGGCGCTCCCCAAGGAAACCGCAAATGTAGAAAAAGAAGTAAATGAGAGACAAAGACTGATCACTGTGGCTTAGTGTGCTGAGAAAGACGGGTTCAGTACACGGACATGTTGCGTATATGTCTCCTCTGAAGGTCCCCACAGGACGACTCTCTGCACTGACTTCCCACACAGGCCGTGTTTAAATAAGGGCTCCTTTCAGTAGGTTCCTGAATGCCCATTAAACCATTTCAAAGGTCCATTGCATAGAGAGAAATAGCTTGATTGAAAACCCTCCTTTAAAAAAAATATTGGTCGTATGGTACACTGTTGGAATCACAATAACATTTTAAAGTATAGAGACAACAGCATAAACTTACTGGCTGCACTTCTACTTTCAGCAGGATTAATACACTTTTGCACCCAGAGACCTACTAAGCTAAACAAGCATATAAACATTTCGGTGAAATTTTCGCTGATAAACCAGAGTTATGCATATCAGATTCTATCAAAAAAGAATAGCTTAAATACTTCACTAATGTTTAAGTCCCAATATTTTCAATACAATTAGAGTTAAAATACACAAATGTTTCCCTCCTTTGCTTGCCAGGTCTCCCCAAAGCCTGAAGTCAGATCCCAGACTTGCTTCAGATGTTGCTTCAGCCTAGATAAAAGAGCTTCACCATGCAGAGCTTTTGAGGTTTTGACATAATGAGTGGGACGATTTATAAGAGATTCTCGTGAGCCAGACCCAATTGACTAGGTAATACCTCTGATATTAAGAAATCTATCCTGGGGAGCTCTTTCCATAATCTATACATTTATTCTGTTTCTCCTATGGCGATCCTCCAAAAGGAGGAAGACTGGTCACCTCAACCTCTTTTCACAGGATCCTTGTACTTACAGGATCCTTAGAGTAAATCCTTTTATGGGAAGGCAGCTCAATAAGCTGACTCTCTTTGTGTTCCATGACTTTATATGGTTTCATATCACAGTGGAACCCTTTACAGGAATTCAGGACACTTCAGTCCCTAGAGAGAGCTCCCCTATGTGGGTCCTTTTATGGGAAGTAACTTGATTGCTCCACATGAAGTTCTTTCCACACACTATACAAGCATATCCCCCCCACCCCGGTGGTTCCTCTTATAAGTAAGGGTTGTTTTCACAAAAACTATTTCTACTTTCAGAGTATTTCTATGGTTTCTCCCGTGTGGATTTTTTTATGGGAAGTTAGGTGACTTTTCAACCTGAAGCTCTTCCCACACTCCAGGCATGGATATAGTTTCTCCCCTGTATGGATACTAATGTGATTAGTAAGGGAGTTGCTTGTAATAAAACTCTTCCCACATTCATTGCATATTTAAAGCTTCAACCCTGAGTGGATCCTTTTATGGCCAGTAAGGGAACTGCTTTTATTAAAGCTCTTTCCACACTCCAGGCATTTAAATGGTTTCTCCTCTGTGTGGATCCTATTATGGGAAGTAAGGGAACGGCTTTTGCTGAAACTCTTCCCACACTCCATGCATTTAAATGGCTTCTCTCCTGTGTGAATCCTTTTATGAGAAGTAAGGGAACTGTTCATACTGAAGCTTTTTCCACACTCCAAGCATTTATAGGGTTTTTCCCCTGAATGGATCCTTTTATGAGAGGTCAGGTGACCCCGGTTCCTGAATTTTTTTCCACACTCCATGCATTTATAGGGTTTCTCACCTGTGTGGATCCTTTTATGAGAAGTAAGCTGACCCCTTTGGGTGAAGCTCTTCCCACACTCTGTGCATTTGTAGGGTTTCTCTCCCGTATGGATCCTTTTATGAGAAGTAAGGGAACTGTTCATACTGAAGCTTTTTCCACACTCCATGCATTTATACGGTTTTTCCCCTGAATGGATCCTGTTATGGGAAGACAGATAACTGCTGCTACTGAAGCTCTTTCCACACTCTGTGCATTTATAGGGTTTCTCTCCTGTGTGCACCCTTTTATGAGAATTAAGCTCACTACTTGTGGTGAAGCTCTTCCCACATTCTATACATTGATAGGGTTTCTCTCCCGTATGGATTCTTTCATGAGAAGTAAGGGAGCTGTTCTTACTGAAACTTTTTCCACAATGTACGCATTTATAGGGTTTTTCTCCTGTGTGAATCCATTTATGAGACATTAGGTGACCATGCCAGTTGAAGGTCTTTCCACAGTCTGTGCATTTATAAGGTTTTTCCCCTGTATGGATCCTTTTATGGCAGGTCAGGTAATCCCTGTTCCTGAAGCTTTTTCCACACTCCAGGCATTTATACGGTTTCTCTCCTGTGTGAATCTTTTTATGGGAAGTAAGGGAACTGTTCAAACTGAAACTTTTTCCACAGTCCATGCATTTATAGGGTTTTTCCCCTGTGTGGATCCTTTTATGGGAGGATAGGTAACTGCTGCTACTGAAGCTCTTTCCACACTCCAGGCATTTATAGGGTTTCTCTCCTGTGTGGCTCCTTTTATGATGAGTAAGGGAACTGTTCATAGTGAAGCTTTTTCCACAGTCCATGCATTTATAGGGTTTCTCTCCTGTGTGGATCCTTTTATGAAAAATAAGGGAACTATTCATACGGAAACTTTTTCCACAGTCTATGCATTTATAGGGTTTTTCCCCTGTATGGATCCTTTTATGGTAGTTGAGATTACTACTCCACCTAAAGCTCTTTCCACAGTCCACACATTTATAGGGCTTCTCCCTCACGTGGATCATTTTATGGGGAGTAGTGTTATTATTATTATCGTTCTTTCCAATTTTGCAGTGGTTACTGAAATTGGATTTTGCTTGGAGTATTTTCCCACTTTTTCGACACTTTCCGACATTGTTTTCTTTGGAATCACGTTGGGTCAGGAAGTGATCCATTTCTGCATGTTCAAGAGTGGACTTTGCTCTCCAGTTGTAAGATTGCCTTT